TGAATTATTGCAGTGGATTAAAACTTGTATGTTTGAAAACAATTTCTTAAATGTGTAGATAATTTCAATTCAATAATGAGTAGCTCGAGTAAAGTGAGATGATGAAAACTGAAAGCTTTGTTGCTATGTAATAATGGTTTCAGGAAAATAAATACTCAAACATTCAAGGGACACACCAATTTAAAGTGGTTCGGTCAAAATGACCTGCATCCACTTGCGAAGCTTTCTTCGATGAGGCTCCCAACTTCCACTAGCAAATCACTTTGAAGGGGAAGGACAAATACCCCTCTTACAACCTTTTACAAGTGGTTCACACTCTTACAAATTTTTAAGGAGAAGGAAGGAGGTGAACACTCAAGCAATTGAAAACAGGACTTGCTAAAGACTTTGCTAAGGCTTTTTTCTCAATCTATTGCTTCTCAAAAAGTTGTATTCTCTGTTGAGAATTGAGGGGTATTTATAAACCCCAAGGTGATTCAAATTTGAGCTCCAAATTTGAATTCTCTTGGATTCCTAAAGCTGGCGGTGCCACCGCTTGTCAATATCACATTGATCATTTACTAGCGGTGCCATCGCCTGTCAATAGCGGTGCCACCGCCCGACCATTCGGGTGCTGGGCGGTGCTACCACCTAATCCAGGGGGTACCACCACCCGATCCTTGGTTCTGGGTGGTGCCACCGCCCAGTCCGACGGTTCCACCGCCCGGTCCTTTGGGTCACTAGATGGGCTTCAAATCTGGCCCAAACTAGGTAATATCGAGCTCAGTTGGCCCCTAATCAGGATATAGGATTATCCCTTAATCCTAACCCTAATTATATGCAAACTACGTAATTGAAAACATAGTCCTAAGCAAGTTTTCAACCGACAAATGTCGAGTCTCCTTCCGGTGAGCTTTCCGGCGAACTTCCGGCGGACTTCCGATACACCCTCGGATTTCTTTCGATGGACTCCCAATAGGCTCTCGATCTTGTGACGAGTTTAGCGAGTAGCCGAGCCTTCTTGGTGATCTCTGCGAACCTCCGACGATCTCTTCGGCGGACTTTCGAAAACTCCGACAAGTCCCCGATTTCTTCTCGGTTGGTTCCAGCAGCATCTCCGACGAATCTTCGGACTCTCAAACACCCATCGAACTTGACTCCGGTAGACTTGCTTGATGTCTTCAAGCTATCATAGTTAATCCTGCATATGTAAAATAAAAGTTCGATCTAGACAATTACTCCTAAGTAATTAATCAAGTTGTTCGGCATGTCATTGGTCCCTCGACGCTTCGTCCGATTCTTCGGTGCATCGTCCTCTCTTGCGGCCTATTGCCCAATCGGCCAATTGACTCCGCAACTCCGATATCTTTTGCGCAATACCCGCTCTTCTTGGCCCGATACCTGAATCCACGGCCCGAAGCCTTCTATCGATACGTCGACCGATCCATCGGCCCGACGTCCAATCTTTTGGCATGTTCCTCCAGCACAACATGATTTTCAAGCTTTAATTGTCTCATCCTGATCGAAGTATCCTGCGTCACTCAAAACACAGATTAAATCATAAACACATAGCAAGTGGTTTCATCATCAAAATACAAGATTCAACAATCTCCCCCTTTTTGATGATGACAACCACTTGATGACGGAGTTAACCTTAATTCCCAGTGTTTAAACAAACTCCCCCTATCAATATGCCATATTGATAGAACCTTGAATTCAAGCCGAATTCAAGTCATTGCAAATATTCATCATGAATATTTACAACATGTCATCATGCATAATATGATCATACTTCTCCCCCTTTGTCATCAACAAAAAGGAGAAGTGTCACTTTCTATGTGTTTGAGATATAAAGTTCAATATATTGCATGAAAAAATATAGTGTTAAATTTTATCATCATGCAATCGAGTAATTAAAGATGTACAAGTTTAGCATGCTTGCTTTTCTTGAGATAGCAACTGTTTGCTTCTCTTTAGACTACAAGCTAGCAATTTTTATGATATGCAAGTTTTGCTACATGCAAGCTAGCAAAAAATTTTGAAAGCAAATGCAAGATAGCTTTCTTATGTAAGCTTATGATTCTTGCTTCCTATTGCAATGTGCAAGTTGCAAGTTTTTGAAATATCCAAGTTCAACACATTGTATAATTAATATAATATCCTAGTTTTATCATCATGCAATTTTGCTATTGTCATCGATATGCAAGGTAGTATGATAGCAATTACTACAACATACAAGCTAGCAAATTTTACAATACTTTTAGAACATGCAAGTTAGCAGTTTTGAGATGTCCAAGAAAACATCCATTGCTTCTTGAAATACGCAAGTTTGCTAGATGTGCAAGTTAGCATGTTTTGCTTCTTGAGATAGGCAAGATTGCACATTTGGTATGCAAATTTATAGTATGTAAGTTATCAACTTTTACACGTAAGAAGTTAGCAAAAAGATGTGCAAGATGGACTATTTTGCCTCTTTTCAAAATATGTAACTTGGCACATATTGCTTCTTTGAGATTTATAAGATAGCACTTTTGTTTGAGATTACAAGATAGCATTTCTTGCTTTTGAGTTGAGCAAACTAATAAGTTTTGCCCCTTTTTGCGATATGTACATTTGCAATTTTTGCTTCTCTTGTCTTGTGCAAGCTAGCAAGCTAGCTATCTCCCCCTTTGTCATTGTCAAAAAGAAGGGAAGACCCTTTACATCAATTTCTAAATCATGACAAAGGTAAGTATCAATCTTATTTGTGCATCATTATGTTTTCAAATTAAAATATGCACAACTTTAAAACTTTACATTTGTATCCTTCATGCATTATACAAATAAATTAATCACTATGGGCATATCATACATGATACATCATTTTAATAATAAATCATAGCATTTATCAATATTTTGATCATGATACCAAGCATTCATCATTTAAAGCATTCATGATACACATTATATGCATATATCATCACAATAAAAAGCAATTGCATGCATAATTTCAAATCATAAATGTTTCAAATCATGATGGTATTAATTTATCAAATTACATCCTACCATACATGATCAAAACTTCTCTCCATTTATATTTCATGCATAATTTCATTTCATCACATTAGGAATATCAAGAGGAATTAATTGGGTGATGAGATAAATATTTCATGAATACATGGAATTGTATAAAATATCATATCATAAGTGTTTCATACATTCATATCATCACATGAAGGAATATAAATAAAAATTAGTGATGAGACATTACTTCATGAATGCAATAAAATTCATATAGCATATCATGGTTTATTAGAACTAGTCTTCTTTTTGGTGAATATAAAAAATAGTAGGAGAGCAAGATCTCAATTCATGCATATCAAATATTCAATCATCAAAATCATGATTCATCTAGAAAATGATCCTCTTTAAATATTCAAAGATAGATCTTAGGAGATCAAATAATAAGAGATTTTCAAATAAAATTTTAAGTCAAGAATTAAAAAAAAGATATTCTCTTTAATAAATCACAAAAGGAAACAT